TCTTTCGAATTTTTTTAAAATTTTCATATTCAATATCGGACTGCGTCAATTTCAAACTATGTTACTTCATTTTTAAGGTGCTCCAATTTACAATTGAGATTAATAAAAATATAGTTGATTTCTCATTCCTGTTTAAAATTTACTATATAAAAGTAAAAAAAAATAGTATATTAATTAGTCTATTTAAAAATATAAAAGTAAAGAATATAGTATATTAATTATAAATTAAAATAAGGATGTTTTAATTATTTATTAACTAAATCGAGGTCTAAATAGATAATAAATGAATTTTACAGAACTTTGAGAACGAGAAATGATATAAAAAATTCATTATTAAAATAAATATTTATAATATATGACCAAAATAGATACTATCAGTTGGAAATAATAGGAAGTCGGGAACAGAAATAGGAACGGCTTCGCCTTGTAATGCACGCAAAGAACATTTAAACCCTAAAATTCATTTTGTTCTAGTTGTTGTCAGTTGAAGTCCTTCAATCTTTTCTTGAGCATGTCCATGGACTTCTTGCGTGAATTTGTTTTTGTATTTCTGTTAGAAATGCTCCCAAAGATGCTATCTGCCGTATCCTTGAATTTGTCACAAATGATGCCCACTTTCTTGTAATCCAAGGCGTTGTAATTTTTCTGTCTAATTACAGGATTCATGAAATTCTCTGGCTGGCTGCTGGACAACAGGTTTATCAACTGTCGAGCTTCGACCAAGCAACCCCGGAAACTGCCATCCCTGTATACCTCGCTTAGCCCCGTGGTTTGGAACCTCTCGTCTGCAAAATTCTCTAGCATCTTTAGATCATTGTTGATTACGATCACCGCATTGGCGTTGAACCTCTTCACACTATCGCTTAGAAATGCTGCGACGATGGAACTCGATATATGCTCGAGAGCCCCGCTCCCGACCTTGTATAAAGCATCCACTGGCAGAATTTGCTGTCCTTTTGACAGCAGCGTCTCGAGGTAAAAAACAGCCTCATTCATGTACTAGTTGTTTTGGACTAGCTCTTCTGATGTCCAGTTTATGTTTTTCTGTGAGTTCCATGAACTCTTCCAACTTACTATTTACCAGAGTCAGGAGAGCCAGGTAAGCTTCATCTCTTGATGTTTTTAAGATGGCTTTGGCTGTCAAACCAGATCGAGGCCAATCGACGGATCGAACTGGAATCCCACACAGTTGGGCAGCATATTGTAGGAAAAAGTCACAAGCTCGTTCGAGGTATGATATATTTGCGGCAAGCTGCATGACTTGAGATTCACCAAGGCCAGTATTATGAACTTTATTAAGGACCACTTCATTAAGCACATCAATCAAGAGATTGTCCAAGTGCTTCCGCACTACATCATAAAAATTAGGATTTAATCCATAGGACAAGTATTCGACGGAGCCTTTGATGAAGGATCGAACAATACGACAGGAATCAGGCACCATAGAGGAGAATGGTGCAATATATGGAAAAGCTGGCATTGTATCTGAAGACAGAAGATGAAATGCCAAAATGTTACTATCATATTCCGAATCCTTCTTCATCATCATCTGGTCACACGTATCATTAGAAATAATGCTCTCAATTTGCTGACGACACTCTTCAACAAGAAGATCGTGGTATTTTTCTCGGCTCTTATCTAATACCTCAAGAATCAAACTCACGTCATACCCATGCTGCCTAAGAGTTGCCCCAAGAAGAGTGATATAATCCTTCACCAAGAGAAGGTGAGTTGCGGAATTCATTAGAGCAAACTGTTTATCCAAAACTGGTGCCACTTTAGCCGCCGTTTGTTCCCACGTTGTCTCAACTTGTTCATCCGAGAACAAACCTCCAGAAGTCCTTAGGACCCTATCTTCCACAATGAAGTAGCCTGCAATTTGTGATAGATATGTTTGATGTGATTCAATGAATGCTTGCGAGGAAGGGATTTGCAAGTCTGAAGTGAGTTGCATTGATCTATTTTTGTAGTAATAATCACAAAATTGCTCTTGGAGTCCAAGGCAGGTATGGATGTCATAAGACCGATGAAGGGGTGTAAGATCAAACTTCAAAACAGGTTCCTCAGCAACTTCATCAACTTCTAATTGATACATGAAATCCATGCCAGCCATGTTCATTTCCTCGGCTTTTCTCTGTCGTTCGAGCATTTCCTCGTCTCTCTGGCGAGCTGATGCGGCTTGTCCTATCGCGGTCTGTCCAATATCCTTAGCGGAACTCCTGATGTGAACTAACCAGTCATTAAAGTGTGCAGTCACTTTCTTCTCAATATGATCTTTTATCATAGGGAAGGCCTTTTCTATAACAATCTCGACTTTATTCACTGGGATATTCTGCAAGTAGTTCTTCTCAATTAAATCAGCAGCTTTCAAAGCAAGGTAAAACTGGGCTTGTGAAAGGTGCTTGTTACATTTAATAAAAAGCTCCAACACTTGAATGCAAATCCTGGACATCTTAATAGCTTCAGTTACACTCTTCTTGATGGAATAAGATTCAAGAAGCTCTTAAAGTTTGAGGAGCAAAGCACTCCCTACCTCCTGCAACCTGAAATTATCACTGGCGAGATCGCTTTTAAGCTCTTCGGCGTCGACCAAGACGCCCGAAGCTCGTCGACAGCACGAATGAATTCCTCGTAGTGGGTCTTGCAGAGCTCCTCAATCTCCACTTCTTTCTTTTTCATGAGATGCTTCAGTTGCTGAACAAGCGGCTCCGGCCGCCCCATTTCGAATGCATGTCTAACAAGGGGACCTAAATCATCCCCGTTTCCGATCAAAGTTGCAAGCGCCAAGTATTCCCTGTCTCACCATTATCTATGGTCGCTCTCCTCTTGTGTGATTTCAAATCCTTAGTTTTAAAAAACAAACAAACACTGCAAATTCAAATATTCCAAGAATAAACAAAACAGAGAATGTTCCAAAAGAGATCCCAATTTGACCCAAAACAGAAATAAGCAAGACACCATGCAACGAAACACATTTGTGAGGTGAAAATAACAATAATAATTGTACCTGGAAACAAGGCGGATGAATGTCTGATCTGAGATGGTTGAAAAGGAAAGATGGGTCTTTCTCTTTTTCTTGTAATTTTCGTAATGACGGGGAATGGAGATCAGTTGTGTCTTTTGTGCATTTCTCTTGACTGTTTCTTTCTGTTTTGGTTTTCTCCTTTGTATTCATTTCTCCGGATTGTTTATCACTAGTTTCGGGGACGATGACCCCATGCCTCGTTGAATGATAACAGGAAAAAGGAATTTCACCAACGATAAACTTCTCTACATATGATTTGGTCCATCTCTATGTCTTTTTACATTTTAGTATCTAATTTTTTTATAAATTAAATGTGGTAAGAATTTTAAAATTTTAATAATATTTTAAAATATTATTATTTGTAATTATTTTGTGCAAGAATAAAACGATCTTGATGGTAAATGAATTGTTATTATTTCTTAAGATCTCGATTCGAGCATTATGAATGTTAGAGGAATGAACATTTAATATCGAATGATTGAGAATATTCTTTTAATATATATTGCCTTGTACTTATCCCGTATTAATAAAAAAATAACTATTTTATTTGGATAAATATATTTTAAAGAAATCTATGTTATTAAAATAAGAATAATGATATTAACAATAATATACAACATATACAACATATATATCTTTTTTTTAAAGTAACATGGACATCTCTAAATTTGTGAAAATATATAAATATTTTTAATAATGTAAAATAAAATATATATTAAAATTTAATTAAATTAAAAAATAGTTTGAAGTTTAAAATTTTTATTTTATAGTGTATATTAAATAAAATAAATAATAAATCAAATACTTACGATTAAACTAAAATTTAAGCTAATTAAATTCTCTTTCTAAATCCATTATAAATTCCGGAAATTTTCATTATTTCTATTCAGACAAATAAAGTTGTCTGTTAAAATTTTAATAAAAACGAAATTAATTAGGGTGAATTTTATCCAAACAAACAAAATCATTTTTAAGATTTTTTTTTAAATCTCGATAAAAATAAATCTCCTAAAAATCCCTTATCCAAACACTCTAAGATTTTCTTATAATCCATTGATAATTTTCAGTTTATTTTACTAAAAGTGAAGTTATTAACATTTACTTTTTTAAAATTATGTTTGATTATCATATTAATTTTTTATTAACAAAAATTCAAAATTTTCTTTAATAAGAAATTCAACAAAAGTGTTGAGCATGGTAAGTATAAGCTAGTTATCATTTAATTTTAAAAATATTAAATTGATAATATTCTTTTTAAAAATGAAATATATTATCTGTTATCTTTATACAAATTTAAATATTCAAACTACTATATTTAAAATATCAAAATAATATGAAATACTGTATTAATAAGGTGAAAATTATAAAATTAATATTTAGTGTTATCAAACAACATAATTTATATTGGACAAATGATAATACCATATAATTTCTAAATATAAGTTTAGTAATCATAAAATTAATAGTTTTAAAATAGGGGTAAGAGTCAAAAAAATCTCCAACTATTATGAAAAGTTTATTTAAATTCCATTTTTTTCATCTTATTGAACCATAAAATTAGAAGATTTCATTAGCAGTGACCTTTTGATCGATGAATTTCATCATTAACTGTTATGTTATCATGAATACATCCAACACAGAAATAAATAAATTTATTAAATCAAAATTTATTTATCATATTGCATGTGAAATCATCGACGAAATCGAGTTATATAACCGATGGAGTTCAAGGAAAGTTCACATCCATGAGACTCGTTAACATTTAACATGAAACTAACGTGTTTGCTAAAGTGTACCTCCGTTTTCATTTTAAGGATTGAAGAACACATAGCATGGAAATGGAGATTGGAGAGACGGGATTAAACATTTTGAATGATAAAAGCAAATTCCCTTCCCATACAAATCCAAGTACATTGATTTTATTACTATAAAATCCTGAATTCCCATGTATATCATGGATTTTCAACAGAAACTCTAATGCAAATATATAATATCATCAAATCAGTTCAAAAGTTGGGATTACAATGGAATATTACCAACTCCCAAGTTCTTCCAATTATTGCAAGCATCGAAAAGCTCAACCAGATGCTGTCTTTTTCTGCTGGAAAATGACCGCATAGACAGGAACAAACACGCCAATGCTGAAGGCTGTCAAAACTCCAAGAGACATTTTCAGCTTCTGATTTTTCATCCTATCCAAGTTATACATGTGCTTAGCATGAAGGTAATATGGTTCGTCGTGCCCATGACCTCCCCCCATCCTCTTCACTCCAGTTGAATGAAAGCCTCTATTGGCTGCCACAAACACAACAAAGATTTTGAGTTGTTACACACATTATTCCCAAAATAAAGATAACAGCACAAAGGCTGAAGATCCTAAACAGTTTCTTTTAACGTTTGAGGATTCCAGCATATGAACCACAAGCAGGCAGACAAACCAAAACAAACGCAACTCGTGCCCACAGCCCACCATTCACAACATTTATCATCTAAGCATAGGATTTTTAAATTTCTCATTAAAATCCAGATTATACTCCAGAATCAATGGAGTCACGTTGCTCTCCTAAGTGGTAGACCTTCCACCCAGAGTCATGGCAAATATTTTGCATCTCTTCGAAGACAGAGCACTAGGGAGAGGTCAAACCACAACTAAGTTAAAAAGTTTAAACTAGGAAAAGTTAGCACCGAACAAAGATAGTGGGTCCTTCAGTTTTGAAGAATACAATGGTCAAGTGAAAATTTCTTATTCTCCTTTCAACTAGGAACAAACTAAAAGAAAGCCTAAAAACCCTACATAATTAGTGAAGAACAATGTTAATCTGGCAATCCACTCGGTCATTTGTTCACTTCATTTTGAACCTTTTTTTAACACATTCCACCATAATTATCCCTCCTATAAATCCCCACCAGCATAATTAACTTGCATATACTTACACAATTGTTAGTAAATATATAGCATGCCTAAATCCTTATCAAGCAAATACAGGGGATAGAAGAAAAGAATTGATAATTACAAGACAAATATACTTCAAGGCATGTACGAGTTGAAACATAAAAATATTTCAAAGGTACACAGAAAGGTGTAAGGATATGTATACACTTCTGATAATCATATACTGAAGGCTACAATTCTATTGAGAATGAATATTTATATTATTGTCTAAATTCGAAACACTTAAACAAATTGGAAAAGGCGAAAACATCAGAATATCATAAGATTTAAAGAAAATATCATCCATGAGTATGTTCTACATTCATTTGCTGATGAAGAAACATAATGCATCAAAAACAACTAGTGAGTGCTGAGTAACAGCCAGCGGTCACCGTACAGATCAAGGACATTGCTAGAAATTTTTAAAAAGAAATGTTAACTTTCAAACGTAAAGCACCCCATACACTTGAAAGTTGAAAACTGAGAAAGAACTTTCTATCATTTAAACAAAATTTCAGCTTGTAAAAGTCACAGAAACTTCCTCATAGACATTAACTAGAAAAAGCAGACATTTTCAAAGGTATATATAGGCCAGAGCACTATGGTAGTAATATCAAACAAACAACACCTCGTCAACCCACACAATCAGTTAGAAAAATAACCATGAATTAGTCAATTCAACAACATTTTTCATATCAAAACAGTTTTCCACAAAAAAATGATAAGAAAGTCGTTACAATTAGTACAAAAATCATATAGCAGTCGTAGAGGTTCTTGAAAGTAAATGCAAAAGCAAATGTTGATTCAAGGCCATTAGAAATCAACATACTATGACCACAAAGCAATTCAAAATCAATGTCTAAGCCTATTTAATAACTCCATTAGGTTTTTCTTTTCAGGAAGAATGCTTCTACACAATAATCAGCAAAAAAAAGGGTATTCAAAAGTTTATCAATCTAACCAATACTCAATCCTTTAAAGGCATATATAGAACTAAGTTCTATGAATTTATTTTGTATAGATATGTCCTACATTTGTTTAAATCCAATCAAGAACGCCGAAAACATAAATCAGCAAAAAACGAATGAAAAATGAAAAATTTACAATACCAATTAAGCAGATCTACATTAGCAGTTATGAACCCTCAATTTTAGCTAACAAAAAACAATTCTCAGCACCCAGATGCTCATCTTCCACTACTTTCCTGTACTTTCGCATCTACCAAACAAAAGATAAATACAAGAAAATAAAAGAAAAACTCGTTAGTGGGTCACCAACCTGATTTATGGATAAGTGATTGAGAGGACGATGTCAGAAACTTAGAAGCCGATCTAAGCCCACCGTTCAATGCCATCGCTTTTCTTCTTGGAAAAAAGGAAAACAAAAAACGAACTCAATCGACGGCAGCTGTTTACAGAAATCACAAGGCCTCTTTTATCCAATTTCACTACCAAGGGCTGTTAGCTATATAGAATCTATAATTCAAACGTGTGGGATCACACACGTGCGATTGGGGCTTAAAACTCATGAAATAATTGCTATAGTGTTTTCTCCTTCTCTCACAAACAAAATATATTAGTTTTAATGGGGGAGTATTTAATTCAATTTTTAATTCTATTATAACTTTGGAATTAATCTCAATTTACCCGTCAAATTTTATAAATGTGTCATGAACAAAATCGGAAAAGTAGTTAATAACCTATAATATAATCATCATTGTGGAGACATTGTTTTAAACAAATTAAATGATTAACTATTTACTCTAAAGTTTTCTCTTCTAGTTTTATTTTATTGGTAATTCATTCATCTCTTTTTCTTTTTATTTTTATTGATCGGCAGTAGTACTAATTTTAATATTGGTTGTTGACCGTTGGTATTTTTTATTGTCCTTTTATTTTTCTTTTTAATTTTCAATAAGTCTACATGTATGACACGTTTTTCTCTATCTTTATGACATATTTTCTTCTGTTTTTTTGGCATCTTTTTCGATCGTTTGGTTGTTGCTTTCTTTTATATTTTTTAAGGCTTGATTAGACATCGCCACGACTGATTAAGATGTTGTTTATCTGTTATATTGTTGATCTTCCCTGCTTTGGACATCGGATTGGATTTGCATATCCATTATGCGTTCCTGAATAGCTTTTTACTTCACTCGAGTCTGATTTATGGATTGTTGGTGGTCTTTCAATATCTTGATTCCCTTTTGTGATTCATTTGCCGATTTGATCAAATATGTTTGTATCTATCTTTGTTCGAGTTTCTTGGTTAGATTTTAATCTTTTCTTGTATGGTTCTTACGTGATATTAAGTTGCTAGTTTTATTTTAACGATTATATCAAATTGTTCTAATTATGTGTTTACTTTACGAAATTGTAAATATTTATTATAATTTATAAAATTTTCTATTTTGAATAAAATTAGTGATTTATTAAAAAACAAATTAAATAATTGTATACTCCAAAAGAATAAATTATATTCTATTTTATTTAAAATAAGAATGATAATGACTCGAGTGAAGTTCAATTTAAAAAAAAAACTAAACTTCAGCAGCTTGGGCTATGCTTGTCTTGCCCAAATCAACTATTTTTAATTATAATAAAAAAATAAGTATTATTTTATTTTATAATTAAAATTAAATAAAGTTTTGTTCTTTGATTTATTTAACCTATATTTTGACCAAACCAAACGTGCCACTGAACCTATAGATGAGTCTAATTTAAAAGAAAAAAATTGATATAATAATAAATTCTAAGAATAAAATTGTTTAAAAAATAACATTCTCATGTGAATATTATGTTGTCTACGAAATAAATGATACTAACATTACTCTTATATTTTAAAATAATACATATTAATAATAATCTTACTTTATTATCATCAAACCACATTACAAAACGAAACAAAATAACATAAGATCGGGAACCAAACAATTCTTATAATTTACATGTAGTTTTTGTATTTAACATTATATTTTTCTATTGTTGAAAAGTCAAGTAAAGGTGGCCAAACATGTTGAAAAATCAAGCAAAACATTTCGGTGCACATGGATTTCGATGGCTTTCGATGGTGTGGAAAAATATATATGAAATTGTTGATTTTTCAACAATGGTAAAATCTCAATTTTAGTCATTGTACTTTAAGGTATTTATAAGATTAGTCCTTAAGCTTCAACTATAAATACCCTAGCTCATTTAGCTTCAAAACCATCACAAATCATTCTAGCTTTCTCCTAATACTAGTGAATTTAGAGAATTTCTTGAGAGTTGTTTTCTCCTTTTTTATCAAGAGAGAATTATCATTGTTTTCTCCTTGGTAGATCGAGAGATGTTGTAATTCATATTTTCTCATAGTGAAATTATTATACCGTTGCCTGTGGTTTTTACCCTATATTATTTAGGGGTTTTCCACGTAAATTTTGTGTTTCTTTTATCTTCATTTTTATTTTCTCAAATTATGAGTTGCAATTTTACTCTATCTGATAGTCGTTTTCCGCAACAATTGGTATCAGAGCCAAATTTGAGTGTGTAATATATGCTTATTGTCTTTGTGGTTGCCACCAAAAGGTGGATCATCCAACATAAAAAGTAAGAAGGTATTTCCCATTCTTTGAAGGTTTCAGATAACTATTCACGATAGTTAAATAGTGGGAGCTATACGTAATAGAAGTTATGACAACAAAATTTGATATTGAATAATTCAATAGGAGAAATTTATCATTGTGAAAATTAAAGATGAAGGTCATCTTGAAGAAAGACGGTTTTCTAGCAGCTATCAGTGAAAGACCAGTAGATTTCACAAATGACAACAAATGGATCGAGATGGACGAGAATGTTATGGCAAACTTTCATCTAGCATTAGCAGATGAAGTATTGTCAAGCATCGAGGAGAAAAAGACAGCTAAGGAGATATGAGATCATCTCACCAAATTGTACGAGGCCACATCGTCACACAATAAAAATTTTCTTAAGAGAAAATTGTACACTCTCCGTATGCCAGAATCTACTTCAGTGACGGAGCACTTAAACACACTAAACACTTTATTTTCTCAGTTTACATCCTTAAGATGTACAATATGAGAACAAGAACGGGATAAACTTCTACTTCAAAGTCTACCTGATTCATATGATCAACTCACCATCAACTTGACAAACAATAATGTCACCAGTCTAGTCTTCGATGACGTTGCAGTTGATGTTCTACAAGAAGAAAATCGGCGAAAGAACAAGGAAGACAGACAAGTAAATCTGCAACAAGCAGAAGCGTTGACAACAATAAGAGGGAGATCAACAGAACATGTCCAAAGTAGCAGTCACAAACATGGTAGATCGAAGTCGAGAAGCAAAAATAATTTAAAGTGCTACAACTGTGGAAAGAATGGTCACTTAAAGAAGGATTGTTGAAGTCTAAATAAAAACTCCAATCCACAAGGCAATACCGCAAGCACTTCAGATGATGGAGATGCTTTATGTTGTGAAGCATCAACCACCGTGGAAGGCATAAAAAGATTTGCAGATATATGGCTCATTTATTCGGGAGCAACATATCACATAACCTCAAGAAGATAATGGTTCTATCATTATGAACTTGTCTCAGGAGGATCTGTGTATAGTTGCAATGATCATGCCTTAAAGATCGTTGGTGTGAGAACCATCGAATTGAAGATATATGATGGAACAATTAAAATTGTTCGAGATGTGTGACACGTGAAAGGCCTGAATAAAAATTTATTATCCTACGGATTGTTGGATAATAATGCAAGCAAGATTGAAACACGGAAATGAATAATGAATGTGTTCCGTAGAGCGCTTGTGGTGCTGAAATGCGAAAAGATAACTGCAAACTTGTACATGTTGAAGGGAAAGACTTTGCTAGAACCATAAGCCTCTGTTGCCTCATGTAGTTCAAATTCTGGAATGCTATGGCATCAGAAACTTGGACACATGTCAGCACAAGGAATGAAAGTCTTTGTGGAGTAAAAGCTACTTCCAGGCTTAACAAATGCATCACTTACTTTGTGTGAGCATTGCATAACAAGTAAGCAACACCGGTTGAAATTCAACACATCAAATTCTAGAGGCAAAAGTGTTATAGAATTGGTTCACTCTGACGTATGGCAAGCACCAGTTACATCCCTAGGTGGAGCAAAATACTTTGTCTCATTTATTGATGACTACTCCAGGAGATGTTGGGTGTACCCTATTAAGAAGAAGTCAAATGTGTTTTCAACTTTCAAAAACTTTAAAGCGCGGGTGAAACTTGATTATGGAAATAAGATCAAGTGTTTCAAAACAGATAATGGAGGAGAATACACAAGCGAAGAATTTGATGACTTTTGTAGGAAATAAGGCATCAAAAGACAGTTCACAGTGGCGAACACTCCTCAACAAAATAGAGTGGCAGAGCGGATAAACAGAACCTTGTTAGAAAGAACAAGAGCAATGTTGAGGGATGCAAGCCTAGAAAAATCATTCTGGGCAAAAGCAGTCAATACCGCCTGTTATTTGGTGAATCGAGCTCCATCAACTGTAATAGAGCTGAAAACACCAATGGAGATATGGACTGGTAAACCAGCTGGTTATTCAAACCTCCATGTATTTGGAAGTATTGTGTACGTGATGTACAACTCCAAAGAAATCTCAAAGATGGATTCAAAATCCAGGAAATGCAAATTCTTGAGGTATGCTGATGGAGTCAATGAGTATCGCTTGTGGGATCCCACTACCCGCAAAGTGATCATCAGTAGGGATGTTATCTTCATAGAAGATAAAATACAAAGAAAAGAAGACGATGATAGTGCTGAAAAGTCAGAAACTACACAGATACATGTGGAAAAGGAGGTTGAACAATGAGATTCTTCATAAGCAGAACCAATACATGATGAACAAGAACCAGAGAGTTCTGAAGCTCCAACAACTCGTCAATTAGATCGTGTGAGAAGACGTCCCAATTGGCACTCGGATTATGTTATAGAAGAAAATATTACATTCTGCCTTTTAACAGAGGACGGTGAGCCATCAACATACCAGGAGGCAATAAACAGCTCAGATGCTTCATTATGGATGATGGCGATGCAAGAAGAAATTGAAGCCCTTCATAAAAATAATATATGGGACCTTGTACCACTACCACAAGGAAATTATGACAAATGGGTCTTCAAAATCAAGTGAAATGGTGTCAATCAAGTGGAGAGGTATCGTGCAATACTGGTGGTCAAATGATATGCTCAAAAAGAAGGTATTGATTTCAATGAAATCTTTTCTCCTGTGGTTCAACTAACAACAGTTCGAGTAGTCTTGGCAATGTGTGCTACATTGAATTTACATCTAGAACAGCTAGATGTTAAAACAACTTTTCTTCATGGAAATCTTGAAGAAGAGATTTATATGCTCCAGCCTGAAGGTTTTGAAGAACAAGAAAAGAAGAATTTGGTTTGCAGGTTAA